TCAAGGTGAAGAATTCATATTCATCCTCGATGAGCTACGAATTAATTTTGATTTGGTTTTGTTTGGTTTCTTTTGTTGTAAGGGATATCAACCTCAATGGGTCATTTAATTCCGACAACATTTTTTTTCTGGTAATATTTTTCTTTTGTCAAAAATCTATTTCTGTTAATATCTCTTTCCTCAAAAATGTATAGCTGGTAATATTATTTTTTCCAAAAACGTATAGCTGGTAATATTTTTTTTTCTTCAAAAATGTATTTCTGGTAATAATTTTTTACAAAGTATTTCTGGTATTAAAACCTATTTTTATACTTTTATAATGCTTTTTACCTAAGTTTCGACGTTAACTAATTGCCCATAGCTGGGACCCTAACAGGTGCTACCACCCCGGATCGGGCTGCACCTGGGATCACTAGCAATTAAGAGGCTCCTGATCAGAGGCCTTGTTGTTGGACGTAGTTTATCGTCTTACCCTGAACGCGGATGTAGTTTATCGTCATACCCAGGACGGATTAATTTTGGTCCAGAAGAACTAAAACTGACGACAGCAACTCGCTCATTATAGTAGATTTAGTGGTTACCGGCGCCAGCGTGACAGTTGTCGCGGGGACTGGGTACTTTATTATTCCCATACCTGGGCACCACGCATTAAAAAATATCATGGCACTCTATGGAGGCGGCTAAACACCAACATGCTCTTGCTAATGCGTAACAATGTATTGAACAACTCACTGTTACATGCTGAGAACAGGGGTTACTATATGACTATAAACGCAGTCAGTATACCTTTATTATAAGAAAAAGGGAGTCAATTCGGTGCAGCACAAAATACCGGGATATCGCCCCACTCTTAATTTCAGAAAAACATGGTAATAATTCAAGCCTACAGACACCAGACAAGTCTAAAGACACTCAAATCCCATGGAATCATACCTCTTACTCAAATCCCATGGAATCACACCTCTTTGAACCAATGGGATTTCTGAGCAACTGATATGGTCTTTCCCTCTCCTATCTCTTCTTTTTATGTGCCGTGTCTGTTCAGGACATAGGCGATCATGGCTCTCCACTTCTCCGCTATCTCTTGTAGCTCTCAATAAGTTTCGTCCTTCTGCCACCTCCCCCAAACCACGTTCTGTCATCCCCTTGCTTAAGCCCGCCAGGTATATCATAAGTTGTTTTTCCTTGTCTCTTTTTCCCTCTATTTAACCTGGGAGTATCAAATTCTCCAGGCCCTCCTTTCTCATTAGGTGTCCCAGAAGTATTATCTGCCTCTTCCTGGTGTTAAGCATCTTCTCCAAAACCTCATTGTTGCTGGCGCGCTCCGTCCATGATATCCTTAGCATCCTTCTGTAGAACCATATCACCGTCGCCTCGAGTCTCTTCTTCATCTTTGAGAAGACCTGTCCAACATTCTCTGCCGTAAAGGAAGAAAGGTATCACGTAGCAGGTTAGTACTACTTTTTTCTTTGTTACCAAATAAATCCTCCTGTCTTGGAATACTCTGCTTTTGAAATGCGTCCTTGGCCATCCCAATACGTCTCTTGATCTCAGCGTCGCACTTATCATTCTCCGTCAAAATACTTCCCAGATATTTAAGTTTCCGCACCTGTTTGATTATAGTGTCTCCGGCCTGTAAACCACATTTCGGGCTCATCCTTTTACTGATGACCATGCATTCTGTCTTCTTGTGGGTTATGGTTAGTCCCTTCTTCTCGCTCTCCTTCGCTAAATTCTGTAGGAGGTTTTGTAATTTCTTTTCCATGTCTGCTATCAGTACCGTGTCATCTGCGTAACTTGTGGCCGCTAATGCTGAATACCGGTATGATTTCCGATTCCCTCAGAATTGCCTCGCTGTATAGGTTGAATAAGTCCGGTGAGAAGACACATCCTTGCCTTACGACTTTTTTCATTTTTGCTGCCATTATAGGCCAGAATAAAACGGAATATTGCTGCCATATCTTGTTTGATGCTGCCGAATCCACATTTTCTAGCTGTGAAAGAGTTCAAAGGTGTCTACGCGGCCATGTGGGCGATGAATCATTATAAACCCTCTGATCTTATTTTTTTTCAAGGCTAGGTTGTAACGTTATCTGTCCTCGGCGTCTTTATAATTTATAACCTTTTTTTTTTAGTTTCAGAGAACAACTTCATGCATCAGCTTGAATGGTTCTTCGGCCTTGTATTGCATTAAAGAATTATAAAATTGCCAGGCTAGCGCTATTCTATAGCTATTACCATGGTAACTGTTGAGTTGAGAACTCCATTCTTTAGTTCCATAAGTTCTAGACTTTTGCAGCTAGTATCAGCAATGCAAAGTACACAAAATGGAATCATCCACATTCCGATTGTATTAGACCAGATAAAAAGGAAATTGCATCCGGAAAGTTTCTTCTCAGGAACCGCCATGATGTTGTTATTTATTTTGTTTCATTTCACCCCATGCAAGCCAATAAATCCACTAAGACGCAAGGGCTACTGAGTGCGAGAGAATATGAGAAAAATAATACTATTAAGGAGAAAGAACGATAAAAGAACAGGAATTAAGAAGACAGAAAATAACGATAGTTACTATGTTTACATTTTCAAAGGTCAAAGTTGACCGGGAAGCCGGAGGCGAGTTCCATAAATGCAAAAGAAGGAACTGTTAGCATAGAACTTACGGTTATATATAGCCATAGATTTGACTATTTCGAACCGATCAGTCATACAATTAAGACAGGAGTAAACAGTTGTATAAATATCATGTTGTAGAACGGACTCCGAAAGATGTGCTTCTATAATAAATGCGATCTTAAACTCTTGATTTATAGCGTCAACCGTTATCTGTCCTACATGTCCTTGTAATCTTCACTTTTTAGTCACTCGTCTCACGTTCATAAAAACAACGTCATTTAATAATCCTATATATTGCGTAGACAAGTATTTTGAACAATTAAGACCCAGAATTGAAGCGGAGGACGTTGTCAAGAAGAAGGTCTTCACAGAGAAGAAAGGGTGAGTTCTTTTAATCAGGATAATGCAATAGAAGCGAGCCTATGGATGATAGTGGGAATGATTCAGGCATGGAAGATGAGATCAGACCTAGATTCCCATTAAAAAGAACCGAGCATAAACCTCAACTGGAAGACAAGGGAGGAGATTGGAGAAGAAGTTCAAGAACAACCAAAGGCATTAAATCTCTTCAGGGAGGTGTAGTGGATTGGTAAATTGAATTGCACCTATTTGCAAAAGTAGAAGAGATATAAACTATATAGTGAACTAAGAAACAGGCAAGAAACAGGTGTCGTAGAAAAGCAAATTCCAACAGATTCTAAATTCAACAATTGTTTAAATAGGGATAAACAACAAATAAAATAACATATTAATCGGATATATTCTAAATATTTTGAATATATAATAAGTAATGAAGATTTTAAGCAGAAATACACAGACATAAGCGCGCAAATATTTTAGTTCCACTCCATCGATTCAGAAATAATTTAGCGTGTTTTAGATATAAATAAAAAGTCGCTTTTCATAAAAGTTATACATTTTATTGCCAAATGATAATGTAAAGATATAATGGGACCTTCACACAATTTTCCACCGACTGGTCAATGACTACCAAATTGGGTCTCCATTCTGGTTGGTGTTGGTGTATGAAAACCTAGGAAAGACACGTTGCAAGGTCACAAGGAAACGACAGAGGAAAATAAATTCATATGTCTGTAGTATGCCTTCATCGAATAAACGTTGTTTCTACTTTTTCGCAGTATAATTTTCAATAAATCGGGAAATAGGGGACAATCTCACATATTGTCTCGTATTTGGAAAAAGTTCAATTCGATATTCGTTTGAGAAAATAACATTTTCCATTTCGCGACTACCCATTAACTTTTGAAAGAATGCCAGATTCTTTTTTCATTTTTATTTTATCTTTATTTTTATTATTATTTTTTTGTCTTTCATTTGCTTTGCCATCATATTCGGTTATCTAGATATTTGTCTACCTTTAAAAAAATTACCCTTATAAATCTCTTGTACACGATAGCGGGACATGTCTAGAGTAGAGGCAATTTCCATTTTGAATTTACCCTCCGTAAAAAAAAAATAAAATAAAATAATCTTTCTAAAACCTATGACTAGAGCAACCAATAGAAGTTAATTTATCACGATCTTTATTTATCAGGAATTTTCTTTCTGTTATATGGCCGACAGAAAAGGTCTTTGAGTTTGCGTCTTCTAAGTGGCGTCCACTTGACCGAAAGAAGACTAACGGATAAACAAATAAAAGAAAGTTTTTGGTGTCAATTGACAAAAAAAAAAAAAGGCCAAGCATTGAAGATTTTCGTTTGCTGGTCTATATTAACAAACCGATCGAAGATGTCAGTTCGGGTGCGATCGGAATGTCCTTCGGCTTGTTCCGATGTTGCTTGTTCGTGTTGCGAGCCACACGACGTGATGTTGGAATAAACAGAGGGTTGGTAGGAGTGAAGGGCTGTAAAGTTAATCCAACATGGCAGAAGTCTTCCTACGTACCTATCCAAACCGAGCAAATGAATCCCTAAATAAAGCCTGTAAATATATTCAAAACAGAGTTCGAATTCTCATATCGGCTGCCGTTTCTCTTGAGCGTTTACTTTTATATCATACTGTTGCAATGGCTAGATCAATTACATCTTAGTAGTGAGTTCGATCTACACTGGATGCTCCATATATACGGTCTCCTGTCAAATCTAAGTTACGTTTAGTAAAGTCATTTTGACGTGTTTTAAAGTTAGCAAGGTTGTCTCTCTAAATTAATTGCGACTGAGTTCGAAATTCACTGGGTGATCCATAATAGCAGCCTTGTGCCATACATAAGCTACGCTTATTAAATCATTATATTTCTTTTACTTTCTGTCTTTTTTGCTGTCTTTTTCTTTTCTCTTGTTTTTTTTTTTTTTCTCTCGTCTCTCTTTTACAACTGAGTCTTCCCGTCATTCGTTTTTAAATATTTTCTTTTTTGTTGCACATTTATGTTTTTAATTAATCTTTTTTTTTTTTTTTTTTTTCTCTCTCCCCCTCTCTTTCTTTTCTATATTCCTGGGTCTTTTTCATTTACCATGCACACATCTCTCTCTCTCTCTCTCTCTCTCTCTCTCTCTCTCTATCGTTTCTTGTACTTCCTCTCGTCTTTTTTTCTGTTTTCTTTTCCTCTACATGTCTCACTCTTTCTCTTTCTCCCTCTCTCTCTCACACACACACACACACACACACACACACATATATATATATATATATATATATATATATATATATATATATAGTGAACATTGAAGTCAACACTCAGAGGCGACAGGCTGTTTCATGCTGGACGCAATCGTCAGGCCGCCTGACGAATGCGTCTAGCCTGTCGCCTCTGAGTGTTGACTTCAATGTTCACTTTTATATTTATATTTCCTTACGCTCTATCTCTGATATTGATCACATTATCCCAAAAATATACCACACTTTAAAACTATATTTCTTCATATATATATATATATATATATATATATATATATATATATAGTTGGATTGATCTCAGTTGGTGATCCTGGGTTTCACGCTCTCTTCGATCGTCAGACAAACTGATTAATTTAAATTTTGGATTTATTTATGGTTGCGTATATCGCTGTTTTATGGTAGTAGGGGGAAAACTGGAACACCACATACGCAAACATAGATACATGCACATTGACGCATTGCAGCTCATACAAACATAAACATATATGATCAGTGTGGGACTGAGCATATATGTGCATCGATGTGTCGTTGCGTGCATACATACGCAATTGGTTGCTATATTCAATGTTGGACTTTTTCGCAAATCGCAGTTTCAACGCACAGACCGTTCGTCTATTTTGTTCGTGGAATAATATATATATACCTATGCACACGCGTTCACATTCCCTCTATTCGTCTGTTTTATATCGTAAGTTGGAGGCTGTGTAAGACTATGGTAGGTAAAATCTTTATTATTTCTAACATTTAATTCTGTTTTGTTTTACTTTAAAGCCGGTTATTTGCTTCTTTTTCGCGGTTGCGCTCATGTAAATGGTAGAAACTCCAATTTATAATACTTATTGGCATTTATACAGTAGTATTAATTTTGCTGGCGGGGAGGAATTATAATTGTGGTCTGATGTGGTAATAGTAATTGTAGTGCTCTAGTAATTGTGGACTAATGCGGCAATGGTGATTGTGGTGCGGTAATAACAATTGTCGCAGCAAATAGTTATGATGACTCCATTCTTGTTGTTGTCGGTGTATGAAAACCTAGGAAAGACACGTTGCAACGTCACAAGGAAACGACAGAGGAAAATAAATTCATATGTCTGTAGTATGCCTTCATCAAATAAACAAAATAAAGTGTAACCCTTTCAAGTAAATGTACCCCCTCTGAAGTCTAATGCCTTTTTCCATCCTTCTCTACCATGCTTCTATGCCCTGCTTCCTGAATTCTTCTTGGATGGCACTCAGCTCTGTCTTTATAGCCCTATTCATCTTCAAAACGGGTCCCCTTTGATGATACTCTTGAGCTAAGAGGAAGAAAGTCACACGGAGCAAGATCAGTTGATTAGGGAGGTTGTTCTTCTCCGTCAGGAACTGCTGGATGCCCAGGGCGTTGTGAGCAGGTGCATTGTCGTGGTGAATCAGTGGTCAATCAGTCAAGATGTGTCCTGCAACAACAGGCGTTTCTTCTTGCGCATTGAGCGAAGCAAATGCTAAAATCACAGTTATATACTACAAAGATATCATATTAGATAACACAATCCGCTTATCCATCTTTCGACCAGCATATCCAGTCCCGTAACTTTTCAGACAGACCACGTATACCTTCCTGACATCCGGCCGTTTTACGTGCGCACACCGGAAGCGTGGAACGCCCGTTTACATGTCTGGAGCAGTCACTGACATCGCGTGAGCTGTGTATCTGGACCGGTTGCCTAAGAGCACCATCAAAGTCAATCCTCTGATACACCTGACTTCTTTGATGACCTTTGTTCTTAGGGTGACCTTATTACTTATTCGGTAACCATTGATCGATTCCCTTAGAATAAAGGAATTGACATCAAATTCGAATCGGTTTATCTCGTATTTCCTGGCAGTGAAGCACTTGCTGCATAAGAAATGGTGGAATATGGATCTTCCGAAAGATTATTGTAACAGGAAACAAGGTTTGTTTAGAATAATTGGAAAGTCGATGCAGATGTATAACTACTTGAAAGGATATTTGCCGGATGGAAGTTTCAGGGCATGACATCGTGCTGATGTCGCATGTACTCGGAATAAAATATGTATCAACACAGTAATTTTTTCTCTTCTTTTAATAACGACACCAAAAAGCTTGTCTGAATATGAAAGATCCAATGGAATATAAGTAGACAAAACCTGTCTAAATTATTCGATGAAACATGTCTCGATATATATATATATATATATATATATATATAAGTGAACATTGAAGTCAACACTTAGAGGCGACAGGCTGTTTCATGCGAGACGCAATCGTCAGGCCACAGAACACACGTGACCTGAGGATTGCGTCTAGCATCAAATAGCCTGTCGCCTCTAAGTGCTGACTTCAGTGTTCACTTTTATATTTACACACGCTCTATCTCTGATATTGAGCACTTTATCCCATAAATATAGCACATCTTAAGAGTATATTTCTTCATTCATATATATATATATATATATATATATATATATATATACATTTGGAAGAAGTGTTGTCGACTTTGGGTAAATATTGAGGGAAACGTCTGTTTACTGGCTTTTGAAACATCCGGTTAAAGAAGAAAATTAACAGATTAAAAAAAAAAAAACTCTAAACCACGGTTAAGAACGAAGAAAATCGTCGAACTTTTATAAGAGACCGGGTAAAATAAAATTAAAAAAAAAAAAAACATTAATAAAATGACAAGCATTCGGCATACTTTGACAAGGTGCAAGTAAAAAAGAAACGTTGTCGGTTGACAGTCACAGAAAGCAACACGTTTCTAATCGGGGATGTCGGAAAGATCAAGGAACCAGCTCACATGGTGCTACGAGAAATTTTGACAGATAAACTAAGGAGAAACTTGTGTTTGATTTGGCAGCCAACTCTCAGGGGTCGAAGAGTCAATCGCTATTAGAATGGTTGAAAAAAAAATTCTCTGCTGCTGAAGTCACGATGTGGACAAAACGTAAAAGACAAACTGCAACTAGCCTAGACATGATATCTGGCAAGCGGCATGTGACTTTTAAAATTACTTCTTGCCTTATGACTAATATATATATATATATATATATATATATATATGCGTGTGTGTGTACATATGAAAATTGAATTTCACTCTCTCTTTCTCCCTCTCTCTCTTTCTATCTATATAAATATATGTGTGGGGGGGATGGACGTCGAGGTGTGTTTGTGCGCGCCTGAGCGGATGTTGAGGTGTGTGTTGGTGTATGCGTGCACAGAATGTGCAGGTGGTGTCATGTTTAGCGGCTAGGATCGTGAAATCGGTGGGCCACGTTCGAATGCGGGTCGCATTTGATGCATCTAATTTCGGATTAATAACCTTGGGAATGGTATGAATGCATCACATCTAGCCCCAGCTATGCGTTATATAGCGGGGCTGACTGGAGGTTTTTAGCCTTAGTCGGCAACTAGTATAGAAGAAGAAGAACACTGAAAAAAATCTACATGGGAGGGGTTTGTTTGGAGATCTAAGTGGTACAAAATTATGTGTTTATATATAAAAAAAAAAAGCGTTGCGCGTTCTGCACAAGTCTTCACCTCTATAAAAAAAATGATACGTGGGGGTAGACTGGCGATTCACTTCTGAGAACTAAATTGGTATATTTCGGTTTAGACAGAAGAGTACTAGTATATATATATATATATATATATATATATATATATATATATATATATATATATATATATATATATGAATGGTAATCTGTTTTGAAAACCTCGGTTAGTTCAACTTGTAATATAACAAATTGATGTCCGAGGAAAAAATTGGAAATAGAAAAAGAAAGAACCAAGAACATAACACTGGACGAATCCTCTCGTCAAGTGCTTCAGCTCCAAGTCCAAAGAAAAAAAAAACAAAACAAATAAAAGACTAAACGTAAAGTGCTCAATACACTAAGTAGAGTAAAAAATAAATTTTAGATTTTAGTTATTTTAGTATATATATATATATATATATATATATATATATATGTGTGTGTGTGTGTGTGTGTGTGTGTGTGTGTGTGTGTGTTTATACATTTGCAACAGCTCACTGTCGACACTTGAAATTCAGAAAATACATCTATACATTTTCATGAAATAATCATAAACTAAACATTCTTGAAGCTATGTATATCAAAAAATTGAAACCAAACCATAATAAGATTAATTATGAATACTGCACAAATGTTTTAAAATGTTTACAGTAAATAGTTTAAAAATTCGAGGTTTGTATTAATAGTTTTATTGCTTATTAAAAAAAATAATCTCTCGACATCACAATAACTTAGTTACCTCCCTTGAAGTGTTAGTCCAGATAATCACACAAATACTAAATCCATCGTTCTTCACTTCACAATTAAAAATTTTTAACTTTCAGTGAACACAGCAATTTTGTCTTTGAAAATGATGAACACTACAACATTTGTCTTGAAATAAACAACACCTTGATGATGTCATTGTGCTAATGTCGAATGTACTCGGAATAATATAATATGTATCAACACAGTAATTTCCTTTCTTCTATTAACAATGTAACCAAAAAAAATTTCTGTGAATATGAAAGGATCCAATTGAAAATTAGTAGACAAAACCTGTCTAAATTATTCAATGAAATATGTCTCGAGACACATATACACACACACACACACACACACACACACACACACACACATATATATATATATATATATATATATATATATATATATATATGTAATTCATAGAAAATAATATTTCAGCAAGGGCTCAATTTTAAAATTTCAGCATAATGCGGGATTTCATTTCGAACTGCTAACAATTCTTGATGAGGTCGTTTTTAATTATTTCCCACGGATACCTTTGTGAAAATCATAAATAATTCTCCTTTCATTCAACTAGGGGTTAATGTTTCCAGTAATAGTGTCTCCTTCAAGAAATTCCAATGTACAACCGGTCAGATTTATAGAAAAATGT